ATATATTTAAGGCAAAGCTGCGAAGGATCTTTATGTTTCAGTTGGTGCCTTTTGACAGCATAACTGTATTTAGTTTCAAATTCGCAGTCGTTACACTTGTACATTTGAACCTGCAAAGGATCTTTATGTTTTAGTTGGTGTTTTTTGATATTACTTTTGTATTTAGTTTCATAATTGCAGTCGTTACACCTGTACATTTGAACCTTCAAACCTTCTTTATGCTTCAACAAATGCTTCCCAAATAATTTCTTATTTTGAATTTCATACTCACACGATTCACATTTATACGTTTTCCAATTGTTCTCGTGTCCCGCACAGTGTGCCGTAAAACGGATCTTACTTCCAGTTTCGTAAATACATTTATCACATTTGTACAACACTTTGTGCTCCTGCTTGGTTTTCATTTCTGATCCATTCTCACGTTTACATCCACCCTCTTCTTCATCTTTACAGACACTCTCTTGTAATGGTATGATATCAAAGCTCTGCAGTGGCGTGTTGCTAAAAAATTGCACATACAGGGTATTTTTAAAAAATCAAGTTTTAATTTTTACGAGTTATAGGTGACACATGCTAAAATGTTGCGTTCTACAGAAAATGACAATAAATGGGCATATTTACATTTGAAGTTAATGAGATGTAAGATGTGAGATGTATAATAAGTAATTATACTATATTTCAATAATGGTATTTGCGAGATGCTATCTATAAAGTCTCACAATAACTCCATCGATAAAAAGTCGCGATACGGATAATTTGAGTACAATCTACAATGGCATTATTAATAAATTTATTATAATTCGAATTATTCTCCAATATTGTTTGTATGTATGTACAACATGGGTATGTGTCTTTATGCTGTTGGTATTGTCATGCTATTGTCTGATGTATAATTATTTATTATTTATCATTATTATGATCATCCGCCTGTAAAATATTTTCCAAATTATTCATATTTTGTGTGACATTTTAGGCAATTGTTTTTTCTCTGCAAGCTGGCAGAAATTCCAGATTTTGCCGGAGGTCCGATACATGAGGAGCAATCGAAGTTACTATCGGGAAATATATATGGATTTTCTGTATCCCCTGATACCAAAAAAATTTGTCTAAGAAAACTCATTGAAGGAAATAAAATGTGGATTGTAGTAGTTTTTTTTTAGTATTCATCTTTGTCAAAAGGTATGAAACAAAAAATACAAAATTCTTCTTTGAATGTGTTTTTGTATTAATTATATTTAGCTAAATCATTTCCAGTTTTTATTTTGAATAACTATTTATTACTAGCTGTTATTGCTCTGGTATACTCGATATCAGCTAGGGCATGTAGCTCATAAAATAGTCATTTCCTGCAATATCAACAGTTAAGATGCTTTGGCATCCCTAGATTTCTGGTATCGTAGAATATTGTTTGACTTCATTTGATAAGAATTTTTAGATGTTTTTTTAATTTGAATCAAGTCAATTACCTTAAAGTAGCGTAAACATTAATTTTCCCTAAGAAGGATTTAAAGAGTATAAATCAGGCTAAACTGGTTTTTCTTCTTGCAATCCGCTTACATAATCACTAATCGTTTCGTAACTTCGTGAGAAATTTCTATTTCTGGCCAGACAAACAAAATTTGAAGGAATAAAATCTAGTATAGCATTCTTTGTACCATATCTGATTCAAAGTCATAATGATAGTTTTACAATGATTTTAAATTTTTTTCCACTAACTTTTAATGATATGATAAAAATTTGTACAGTATACAGTTTATAACCGACAAAATCCCATAATTTGTTACAATTAATTTATCATCAGATGGTATGGTACATTTTTAATCATATAAATCACGACGGTGTCAGGACGACGAGCTGCCATTTTTTAAATTAATGTTAGAACAGTCTTATCTTACCTCCTTTCATCTTCCGATTTTATGTCGATACTTTCGGCTTTGATTGACATTTTCATCTCGTTAATATTGAATTCCTTGTCCAAGTTTTCAGTCTTAATGAATAAATCAAGTGGGGACGTATCTATTGGATGTTTTGCGGCCGAAGATTCAAAAGTATTATTAATTTGTTCCTCTACCTCTAAGCAATCTTTAAGGAAACTGTTGTGAGTACACAGAGAATCCAAGCATGGCTTACATGCAACGGGATCTTTGACGATGCTTATAATCTGCAAAGTATAGTTTTTTAAAGAGAAAAAGTATTTAATATCATTGATACCATTTCAGGAGCCAATTTCTCAATAGCTTCAAGTTCCTCTTCACGTATGCACCTAAACTCCCTTTCTACTGGGTGCAGACACAATCGACATATTTTCTGACTGCAAACTAATCCACTTTTCTTTTCCTGCATGTATACTTCTCTTAAGTCAAGCTGTAATGCTTTCTCGCTATCCGCATAAAGCATAATTGTGTTATCGGTATTCAGACATGTCGATTTAAATTCTGACGCAGCATTTAATTTTCTTCTGCAAACGTTACATATAACCTCTTTGCTCCCGCTATCAATTTTCTGAAAAATATGCAACTTTAACCAAAAAGAAAATAACTGTGGCGTAAAATAACAATTAAACACTAAAAGGTGCCTTATGGTTGGTTTATAAAAAAGTATTAGTCCTAACTTAGTCTTAGTCTTAGTATTAACCTTTACACTAATCTTAGTATTAGTCCTAAGAATAGGTACACGTTTATAAAAACAATGTGTGGTCCTAATTTTATTAAGATTAACCAATGAGCGATTCGACTACGCGCATGGCTAGTAATATCACAGCATAATACTTGTTTATTATTCTGTGGTAATGTTATTTTATTTGTTTTGTTGGTGAGTGAAAAGAAAAATATAACCTATTACTATGGTAATGGCGTATTGGCGACCACCATAGACAAAGACAGGAGGCCACTATGCTACGAAATGCAATACTTGTGCATGCGCACTTCTCAGATCTTAGTCTTAATCCTAGAAAAATTAAAAGATGCGAACTTTCAAGGTCATGTCTTAAGACCTCCTTACGACTAGGGATTTTTATAAACCGATACATTACATTCTGTACATTTAACTTTTTAGGACTAAGATTAAGGTTAAGTTACGGCTAAGTTAGGACTAATACTTTTTTATAAACCAACCATTACACTTGACACTGTTAAGACGTAATCTAAATATATTTCACTGACTTACCAAGTTCAGCAAAAGACCATCTAGAATATCTCTAATAACGTCGTCTATCACTTCAAAACTTTCATCGGTTATATATTTAAGGCAAAGCCTACAAGAAGTTTTCTTAATATCACTCATTGCTCTGCAACAATCTTATTTTGAGTATAAAAATTACTCAGAGACAAAATTATAATGCCGTCACTTCTAACAGTTCTAACCTTCTTGGTTTCAAATGACAGCACAGAGCATGGACACTAGAGCTGTAAGAAATCGTTACTATTCGTTATTCGAGTACTCGTTACTCGACACGATCCGAAGTAACGATTACTAAAAAAATTACGTTATCGTTACTTCACTACTCGAGTACTCGATTTTTGAAAGAGATGTAGTAGGAGTAGGTGTAGATCCGAATACCGAACAGCTATCGCCGAATCCACTGGTAAAAACGAAACTGACCACTGCAACAAAAATGAACTCTGCTCCATCATTAGCGAGATCTTGAATTTAAAAATTGTACAGATTACTACAATATATCTAAACGTGAAATTCAAATATTGTAGAATGCTACACTACACTGAGTCTGAAAATTTCCTGTATATCACCGAAATACAAGCTGAAAATCAAATGATTTACTTTTGATAATTTAAACACTTTAATGCTGCGTAACATAAGTTTTTAAATCGAAATTTGTAGGTAGTAGTACCGATTACCTAACCTGCATACAAGACAAGTAACTTCGGATCTCAAACCGTTATAATCCGACTGCTGCAGTACTCGTACTACCCGTACAGCACCTTTTGAACTTTGATTACATGAATAACTAAACCGAAGTAACGATTACTGTATGAAAAAGTAACGAGTAGTTACAAGTACCGAAATGTAACTGAATTTTACAGCTGTAATAGACACAACTTAAACTCTCTTTTGAGAAGGAACAGGTTCCAGGTAGAGATGGGTAGTATCCGTATGATTCGTATAAACGATACGAATCTTTGTTGGGAGTCCCCTGGCTGCTAACCTTTTCTGTTTAAGAGACCTCCAGGATCAAGAAACGAATACGACACACACACGCACACGCACACATACCCTCCTTACCTCTCCCCTCCCGCGCTAGCCTAAAAGCCACCTTAGCAAAACGCATCCCAGGCTGCATAGCCGCACTACCCTACCCAACCATACCACACATAAACATGA